CTCACTTTTCCATTGCTCGCCAAAAGGGCTTTGGTGCCCTGATTTCAGCGAAGCCACCCCAGCTCTGCTTTTGGGTTTATTTGCATGGACTTTAGAAGCCCCGCTCTACTCTCCCCCAGGTTTCACATCAGGAGAAATCCCCCCCCCCCGGCAACCAAAGGCTCCACTTTATGCCTGCCGGGTGAAGCCGGCATGAGGTCGAGGAGTAGCAATGGCTTTATTTAACCACCATTCCTTTGAACTGAGCCCCCAACCAGCCCACAGTCCTTGGGGGGCCGCTCCAGCCCCTTCGGAGAGGTGGAAACGGGGGTCCCCAAGGCGTAAGCAAGGGCTTGGGGACCTGCCAAGGAAACGCTTGGCCTCAGCTGCCCCGGCACAAAGCCCTGCCCTGAAATCAGTTAAAAAAACCACATTTGCAGTTTTAGCCCTTTGCTTCCCTGGCCCCGGCACATGCAAAAACCTCCCGGGGCGGATGCTGCCCTGTACAAATCCACCTCAACACCCCTTATTAGATCCGCGGTGTCTTCCCCTGACGCAAGCGGTGGTTAATAAATAGCACCGGCTGCCACGAATAAGTCGGTGAATGATTCTCCAGTGGGAGTCGGGAACGGAGGAGCATCCCTGGCCCTGGCTCTGTGCCTCCGTCCTACCTCTGGACCGGGGTCGTGGCATGGTAACGGAGCGTGCCGGGAAGGGGAAAAAGAAATTATCCGGTGGGGAGCGGGGAAGCAGGGCTCGACACACTCGGCCGCCCATCCTTCCGGCCGCGGTTAATATTGGAGAGGTGGCGGGAGAGCAGCCAGCGAGCAGTAAATGTTAATGACAGGTTATGGTGCAACCTCCCTCCACCGGTGTCATTTTTGGTAAAAACCATCTTGCTCCAGCAAGCTAAGCGTCACACTCACCTGGCGATTAAATCCAAATTCTTCCTTGGAAAAAGTTCCTTTCTGGAGCAAAAGAGAGGCTGTGGGAGCATGGGTCAGATACCAAGCTGGGTGGATGTTACTGGAGGAGAGGTCCTCACCCGGAAGAAAGCGAAGGAGCAATAAATACCTGGCTCTGGACCGTGTCCCGAGAGGCAGGGGCTGGCAGGAGCCATAGGGAAATGGAGAGAAGGGAGTGGGAAGGAACAGGGTAGAAACTGTGAGGGTTTCTATAACCCCAAGAGATATTGACCCCACGAACCTTGTTTCTCCTCATTTCACACTCCCAATGAGACAAACCAACCCTTGAAAACAGTTTATTCCACAGCTGAACACCAAAATTCAAGCGCCTGCCTATAAACCAGCCCCGCAGAGCAATCAGCTCCTTCGCACCTACCATCGCCCCGCGCTCCTGGGCCGGCCGACCACACACACGGAGCGAAACGGGAAAGGTGCAGCTTAAACCTGAGCACGAGGAGCAGGAGAGCAAAGGTGCCGTCCTGGATGGAGTGGAGGGACAGGCAGGAGCAGGCAGGCCAGGGCACAGCCCCGCTCTCTACTTACAACAGTCGCCGAAATAGGGGAAGGGGAGGGAACACGCGGCTGCCCTCGTCACAGATGCTTCCCCGAACGAGCGCAGAGAGCGGCCAGGTCTCGGAGCGGCAGCCTCGCGGAGGGGCTCCTGTCTGCGGGGTCGCAGGACGAGATGACGGACTGCAGAGCGTGGCTGTAGGCTGAGCGGGAAGGGGACACAGAAGCAGCGTTAAGAGATGAGAGTTTCACTTACGGGCCCAAAACTGGGCTCGGCTTCAGCCTTTTACTGTAAAGCAGAGAGAGAAAAACTGGTTTTTAAGATAAATCGACATGCCTGTAGTTTTCCACATGCTTATTTGCACGCTCCTGTGTACAAAGCAGTATGCGAGCCAAAGCAGGAAAGCCAAAGATATTTTATAAAGCCCCAATTTCTCTACTTTTTTTCCCCCTGAAGATGACTCCCAGTTGCTCAGCCAGTTTTCCAAGCTGTACTCAAGATCAGAGCACTCTCCGTCACCTAACAAAGACAATTTCCGCTGCCTTCTTGCATCCTCCCAACGGAAGACTCAACATTTAAGGCAAAGAGGTTTTCTGTGCCCGAAACAAGCCAGTTTTGCAGTGTTTTCCTTACGGTTCTCCCCCTACCAACACACGTATGTATTACATAGAGGCTGGTGCTTTGCTGAGGATGTCACTAAGCTCCCTGAAGGGACAAAGAGGTTGGGTTAGAAACAAGCAGCAGAGCACCCGACTTGCCCTCTCTGGAGTACGTTTGTAGGAGCATCTCTATACAGCAGCCTCGGGAAACGTCTAGCCAGGTTTGATTTCTCCCTGTATAATCAGGGATCCAGGTCTAGGCGCCTCTGCTCCAGAAGCAGGAGCTCCTACCTTTGTGGTTTTTGTAGAAGACGCAGTTGTTGGCGCAGGTATCCGGGTGGGAGTCCCAGAAATCGGACCCGCAGGAGCACAGCGGGGGCAAGTCGATGTTATATAGTTGTATCTTCTCCCTCATCTGGGCTCTTAGAGCTTCGATGTACCTGCAAGGGATAAAATATTCACCTTTGCCAGTAACACCCGGCTCTGCGCAAGGAGAGGAGATCCGGCCGTACCTCGCGTACTCCTTATTTCGCTGCTGTTTTTCCTTAACCTTCTTCACTTTCCTCTCCTCCAGTTTAAGCTGGGCCAGGGTTTCACAGGCTCCCTCTCCCGGGGAGGGTTCTTGCTGCTCAGCCATCTCCTGCATCCTCTGCTCTTCTGCCCGGCGCTGGTTCTCCTTCTTGCTCTTAATCCTGCAGGCACACACAGGCTTAGAGAAGGAGCTTCCCCATCCCAACCTCCATTCCCTGCCGGCCTCTGGTTGTAAGATCAGGGTAAGGGGATCTCGATGCTGCTGCTGCCTGCTGCTTTCGCCCAAACTACCCACAGCAGGTGAAAGTGGCTCTGCAGTAATTGCAGCATTGACTTTCTAACAGCTTTAAATCCAAAATGGTTAAAAATGCTTTCCGAGACTTCTTTCTTTCCCCCATATGGAAATACCAGCCTACAAATGCTCTCCTGCCCTTGACCTCCTCCTGCCTGCTAGTTTTCTCACCATCGTGGCCTCCAAAACAGGCTTTAAGTGGCATTTTTAACCAAATCTTGCTCTATTTTCTCAATCTCCCTTGCACCTACACGGCCCTCCAGCCCTTTCAGTGGAATCTGGGCTGTGTAAGTCACACCAAACGCAAAGCACGTTCCCTTGATAAGCGGCAATTACGAAGCACAAAGACTTTAAACTGAAGCATCTGCCATTTTCTTCCCGCTGATGAGTACCAAATGCAATAACATGTTACAGGCTGATCACTGCCAAAAGGCATTCAAAAAAACAAAAAAATTAAGGCTGGGTAGAAGCCAGGGGGAGAAAGCGTAATCGAATGAGACTTTTCAGATGTTACTCCATTTGGGGGGTCAAATCTTTACATCAAGAAGGAAAAGTGCTGAAGCCAAACTTCTCTAGTGAAGTTATAAACTCCAAAATGTTTTTTAAATGAAGTGGTAATAGAACCTTAACTACCCACCATAAATCTTCTGCTATAGAAACTAAGGCCAAGGCCAACTTAAGGCTTTACACTAAGTAATTACAAAACCAGCTCTTTTCCGCATACACTCTGAGCAGCTTGCGGCTCCAGCAGCGCCCCTGCAACTGGGAAAAACAAAATACAATAAAAAGATATCACACTAACTAGGAAGTCCCTGGTGTCTCCCCAGCACTTACAGGGCAAGAAAAGGTCTCCAAAGCTCCCAAGTGCCAATTTAAAAGCCAGGAATGTGGCTGGGAGAGCGT